GTCAAGTATTTTGTGAAACCTCTTTCACTTTGGAAGCCACAGTTTTCTACCATGTCCTAGCTACCTGACAAAGGTTCACAAATCTTTTAGTTCACCCAAGGGTTTAAGAATTTAACAAGGAGCACTGGAGAGATGGCTTAGTAGTTAGTAGAGCATTGACTGTGCTTCCATAAGACCTGGGTTCGAATGTCAGCCTCTGCTTGGAGGCTTACCACCATCTGTAACTTCAGATACAGGGGATCCTACACCTTTTCCTGGCCTTTGCAAGCACTTTATGCATGTACTGCATAGACTTACATGCAGGCAAAACATCCTGTGTGTTAAAAAATGAGCAAGGGCCAAATGTGATAGCACATGCCTATAATGCCAGAGGAAGAAGCAGGAGAATGGGAAGCCAGCGTGGCGTAATTTCTAGACTCTGTCCTCGCCCTCACTTCACCATCATCCCCAAAAGAACATCACTGGTTGAGGAAAAAGATTTTATGTAATTAAAATTTTGTGTTCTTTACTTTACACTTGTACCTGAATATTGTAAAAGGTTTTATTTTTGTTTTGAGATATCATCTTACTTTGCCTGGAATTTTCTTTGTAGTCCGGGATGCCCAAAACTCAGAGATGCACCTGTTTCTGTCTCTGCCTTTCATATACTAGGATTAAAGATATATGTCACCATGCCTGGCTGGGTTTTTTTGTTTGTTTTTTTAGACAAGAGTTAAGTAGTCCAGGCTGGCCTCAGACCTATTATTCCTCCTGCCTCAGCCTTTTATTATTCCTCCTGCCTCAGCCTTCTAAGTGGTGACATTGTAAGTGTATACCACTATGCCCTGCTGTAATCATCTAAGACATAAATACATGAGTGGATAAGAACTTAAACAGTCTTTCTTGATTTTTGAAAGCGATGTCATGAATATCATGAATATTTTGTATTAAAGATTACTTGAGCCGAGTGGTGGTAGCACGTGGGCCTTTAATCCCAGCACTTGGGAGGCAGAGGCAGGTGGATCTCTGTGAATTGGAGGCCAACTTGGTCTTCAGGGTGAGTTCTAGGACAGCCAGGGCTACACAGAGAAACCCTGTCTCAGCAAAAACCAAAAAACTACTTGAAGTTCACACTTTTTTTTTTTTAATGTGGATTGAGTGTTTTTCCTGCATGTGTACCAGATGTGTGCCTGGTGCCTATGAAGACCAAAAGTATTAACTGCTGAGCCATCTCTCCAGCCCCTAAAGTTCAGTCTGGTCATCTTCATTAAACAGTTCACATTAATGAAGCTGTGATGTGTTTTATTATTTGGGGCATTAACTCTTTCCCCCCTGTGCTTCTTAAGTAACAGGAGTGAAACATCTACATCTGATAATACAGAAACTTACCAAGAGAATACAAGGTAAATTTTTAAAAATTCTACTTTGGTAAATAATATTGTTGAATAATATAGAAGGTCTTTATTATTTGTGGTGGTAAGAATTTAACTCAGGGATTTAGCATACTAGGCATTCACTATACCATTGAGCTATAATCCTGAATCCTCATAATAGATTTTTCTTTTCTCTGAGACAGAGTTTTGTTGTAAAGCTTAGGCTGGCCCTAAATTCATGGTCTTCTTGCCTAAGCCTTCAGAGTGCTTGGAGTTTAACAGGCATGTAGATAATAACGTTAAATAGATTAGTTAGTAGATTTTTAGTATTTTTTTTTTTTTTTGGTTTTTCAAGACAAGTATTTTTTTTTATTGTGTGATTTTGTGTGTGTGTTGTGTATGTGCTCATGTGCATGCCACATTACACATAGAGTGGTCTAGAGGATAGCTTGCAGGAGTTGGTTCTTTTCACCGTAAGAGTCCTGAGGACTTTACTCGGGTTTCAGGTTGGGTGGCAAGTGCCCCTTAGCTGCTGAGCCATCTTTCCAGCCCAGTTACTGTATTTTTAAAATAAACATTTATTCAGTTAAATCACTAACTATAGTCCTGGGAGTTAATGCTTCAGAAATAAACAGTGCTTAAATAGTTGTTGCTTTCAGGATCATCATGTAAGAACTAATCTATTTTCCTGGTCAGATTTCTTCCATGCATGATTCAGGCAAAGATGTCAATATTGAACTTGGTGACATTCAGAAGTGTTAAAGCCCAATGATGTTTGATTCTTAGATTGCTTTGAATTACTTTATCTTAGGGTTTCTATTGCTGTGGTAAAACACCATGACCAGTGCAACTTACAGAAGATAGAGTTTATTTGGGGTTTATTTTTTTTAGAAGATTAGAGTCCATATTGGTGATATGAGGCCTGGTGATTGGCAACTGGAGCCAGATACATCTTGATACACAAGGAGGAAGCAGAAAGCACACTGGAAATGGTGTCAGTTTTTTTAAACCTTAAAGTCTGCCCAATGACACACTTCCATCAAGGCCATACTTGCTAATCCTTTCCAAACAGTTCTAACAAATGGGAATGAAATATTCAAACACAAACCTTTGGGAGTCATTGTTATTCAAACCACTACATGTTTCAGTCTTTGCCTTTTTGCTTTTTCTGTGAATTTTGTGTTAGATTCTTAATCTGGGGTAGATTAAAGTTAGAATTTGATGGAAATCCTTCTTTCACTAACTGTGTTGTTTATTTTGTGAGCCTTGGAAGGGTAATGAAGCACATGCTGCAGTACAGTCAGACAACTACTTGTGCCTTCTTCACTTGTTGAATCATTTCACTGGTCCATAGAATCTGTGTTAAGTTTTCAGTTCCTACAGAGGAGCTTTCTAAAATGTGGTAAACCGTAAGACAGTTAGAAACTTGAAGGGATACACAGTGACTTCTGGTACCATGTGAATGATTACAATTACATTTGGACTTAACTTCTTAACCATTGTCCTATATTTTGTTTGTAATTGTTTTTTTGGAGATGGGTTTCATAAGGTAGATGAGGCTGATCTTGAACTCATGACCTCGCTACTTTAGCCTTCTGAGTACTATCATACTTAGCTTTTCCCCCCTGGAGAACAAATGAACTGAAAGGATAAACACTAGTACTATATAAACTGAGACTGTAAGAGAAATTCTATTCCGAATCAATTGTTGAATAATCTCATAACTATGACTTAAAACATAATAATTAATTCACAACAGTGCATCAAAAAATAGCTCATTTTTTATGTTGATGGTTTTGAATTTCAGTATGTCTCATTTGAATTGCCTTGTAGTTCTTCTGGGCATCCCACCTTTAAGTGTCCCTTATGTCAAGAGTCAAATTTCACCAGACAGCGTTTGTTGGATCACTGTAATAGTAACCATCTATTTCAGATAGTTCCTGTGGTGAGTACATATATTCAAAAGAATCTTTTGTTTAAAGCATGTGGTTCCATGAATCTCACTTTATGTATAGAAAAGGGAAGTTTCTTATTTAAATTTGGATTTAAAAGTTTTAATAAATGATTGATTGTGATGCAAAAAAATGAGATATTTAAATTTTTATTGCCTCATGTAAAGAAAGATAGTTACTGTCAGGTAATGTAGACTACTCTAGTAAAGAATAAAATGTGAACTAGGGAGTCATTTTTGTGTAGGGGCAGAGCCTAATTCTGTTGAGTCCTTTCAGTTTATTCTGGATGCAGAGGACTGGATCCAGTCACATGAATCTGTAATAGAAGACAATACTTATAAGATTAAAACTGAGCTAGGTATGGTGGTGAATGCTTTTACTCCTAGCTCTGGAGAACAGTTCTAGGCTGACCAGAGCCATACAGTGAGACCTTGTCTCAAAAGCCAAAGGGTAAAACCAGTAGATATTTTTAATTCTATCATTGAAGAATTTATATGAATGTGTAAAAGCAAGAAGGAAAAAAGTCATGCTATATTTATTTTTATTTTGATGCATACTTGTATTTTTTGATGTTGTTTTTAGGGGGAAATTTATGTAGATTACAGGATCCCAACATTATGTTAATGGTCCCAAAAGAACTCATTTTGAGCATACATTTCATAGATAAGTGAATTTATTAAGCTGGAAGATATCTTTCATCCTCCTGCCCTGTACTGGGGCTTCAACTGGAGCTCGACACTTGCTCCACAAGAATCCTACCTTTAAAATATATCTCCAGCCTTTTAAATTTTTTCTAATAAAATTTTATGATGGGGGGGGTCTCACTTAGTTGCCCAGGCAGACCTTGCATTTGTGTTCTTTCCGCCTCAACTTCAGGAAGATCTGGTTCTATATATTTCTCTACATAAATAGGAGAACGTTGTTGATTGATTTTTATTACCTTATATAAAGGAAGATGATATCATGAGGTAGTGTGGACAGTTTACAATAGGATTAGGGACGACAGGGTTGAGCTACTACAACCAGCTTCTTCAAAAATAAGGAGTAAAATTTATTAATAACATTTACAGCCAGTCTTTAGATATTTTAGCAAATATAGTAGAAAAATATTTTTTAAAAAATGCCTGAGTAACTATTGAGGATTCCTTTCAATTCCTGCAACCATTCATTAAAAGGGAAGGGGTTAAATAAGCAAATACAGTACCCAAGAGGTATGTGGGTTGAATTATTTGATTTGTATTCTTTTCTGCATAATACTCTATGCACTGTCAGCTTTGGTTAGAATCCAGTTACTTCTTTTTGTGTCATTTTAAAAAATGTACTTCATTAAAACTTTGAGGATACAGTTTAAACTTTATGATTCACTCCATTTTCATTTTACATGTAAGTGAAATCAAGCTAATATTTCTATAATGGTTATTAATTAGATCAGGTGAGACTATATGTTACACATGTTGTAGATAGTTAATGGAAACTGTCATTACATTGACATTAGTGTAGGCTGCATGTGCTGTTTCTGTTTAAATAGTTCTATAACTAGAGATTTAATTAATAGAATATCCATGGTCTCTCTTACTATAATAGTGTCATTTATCTAAGGTAATCTGCTTGGGAAATGATCTAGTCATGGGATTTGGCTCTTAGAAATGGATTTTAAGAGCTGCACATGGTGACACATGTCTCTAGTCCCAGGACTTGGGAGCCTTAGACAGAAGAATCACAAGTTCAAGGCAGCCTGGGCTACATAGTGAGACCCTGTCTCAATCTCTTTATACTGTCCAGTGCTTTTTGTGTTCAGGCAAACCTTAGAGAGACTATAGGTTTGAGTACAGATCACAGTATTAAAGCAAATATTGATGTGAGGGCTGAATGTGCTGGTTCACGCCTTTAATCCCAGCACTTGGGAGGCAGAGGCAGGAGGATCTCAGTGAGCCTTGTCTACATAGCAAGCTCCAGAATAGCCAGGACTACATTAGAGAGACCCTGTCTCAAAAAAACAAAAAATAAAATAAAAAATTGATGTGAATTGAGCTACACCTTTTATTTTTCAGTGCATATAAAAGTTACACTTGACTATACTGTTTTCTGTTAAGTATGCAATTGTATTATGTCTAAAGTATATACATTATCTGTTACATGCTTCATTGCTAAAAGTGTTATTCATCATTTGAGCTGTTGGAACAATGGTGCCAAATAGACTTGCTTGACACTGGGTTGGCACAGACTTTCAACTTTTAAAGAAATGTAGTATCTGCAAAATGCAGCAAAGTGACGCACAATGAAGTATACCTGGTGTTTTCAATAACATGAGCTTGTATTTTAATACTCTCAATAATTATATGATGTTTCATTATTTTTGTTATTTTTTTATTTAAAACAATCTGTTTCTCATAGACATGTCCTATTTGTGTGTCTCTTCCTTGGGGAGATCCTAGCCAGATTACTAGAAATTTCGTTAGTCATCTAAATCAAAGACATCAGTTTGATTATGGAGAATTTGTGGTAAGTGAGTTCTTCAAGATTAAGAAAGTTAAATTAACTTTTTCAATCTAAATTTGAGTTTTCAGGCAAGTTGTGGAATCAGACTACTTGAATAAAGGGCAAGTTGCTATATTTTTAGTAGTAAAATTGTTAAGCTTCATGAAATTCTGAGAATTGAATTTATTTTTTATACTAGAGAGATAATTACTAGAAAAATAAGCCCCTTAATAGCAAAATGAAAGTTTAAGTAAAAAATTGCCTAGAATTAAGAGAAAATTATACCTGCTTGAAAAGTAAAATTGGTACCAATCACGTGGGAGAATGGGCTTCAAATACAGAGTAAGCTGTTAGCATAGGAGGCACATTAAGAACACAAACCAGAGAAACCCATCAAAAACCAGGTTGTCTACTCAGGAAAGGCAACGGAGCCCCTCAGACCAAAATGGCTCCATTTCTATTTTTCATACTCATGATAATTTTAAAAAATGATGTGATAGTTCCACTTTATTAATTATAAAATTGCACTTTATTCAGCTTGTGTGTAGTTAAGATCTTATTTAATACACAATTAATCCCAATAGGTAAAAACAGGCATGCATAATTTTCATTTTTATGGGATTTGCAATTTTAGTCTTATTTCAGAATAATTTAAATGTTTGTAAAATTTACATGTGCTGCTTTAGTGATTTTAGGAAGTAATTGTATATTATTTTTAAATTTCCATTTTAAGAGCAGATACTGTCTGGAGGGCTATATTTGGAAGAACAAAATAGGTTTTGTCAACTATTTTTAATCTAATTCTTTGTTTTACCTTGCCATAGAAAACTATTTTAGTTGTCAGGTAGAAGACTTGCTATCTTTTAAAGCTAATCCATGGGGCATAAATTGACAGCAAATAGGGTTGTTAAAGAGAGAGTAGGGTTTCTGTTGTTGGTGTTGTTGCACTGGGTCAAGACTCAGTGCATTCTAAACAGTTGTGTACACCGAGGTACTAAGCCCTAGTCATAGAGTCAGTTATAATTTAAAAATGACTGAGCTACAGTTACTTAGTTTCACGCTGTGGTTAAGAACTGTTAATTCGGCTGTTAATTCAGTTAGTTAACATAATGCTTATCTTTCTTAAATTTAGTTTCTCTTCAAAACTTAGAAATCTTTTTTAGAAATGATACAAATTTATCATACTGCTAGTTTTAATTAACTATAATTTTGGTCAGTGTAAATTTTATCCTCTGCTGAGCAGAGCAGTTATTACTTATTACTAAATAATGATAGCCAAATTTAATTTTTAAAGTTCATGTATTGAAACTTTGTATTTTGCTAATTTTTGAGATGGGGTCCCATTATGTCCATGCTGGTTTCAAACCCCTGGGCTCTAGGTATCCTCCTGCCTCACAGTCCTGAGTGGCTGAGAATATGGCACACACACCATGGTACTTGGCTTAATCTTGCATTTTAAAGCATACTGTACATAAACTCCCTTGTATGCAAATGAATGTGAAGATGTGTAATGCATTAGATAAAATGGAATAGTTGACTATTACCCTGTTAACGTTTTTTTTTCTTTACTTAGAATCTTCAGCTAGATGAGGAAACCCAGTATCAAACTGCTGTAGAAGAATCTTTTCAAGCAAACATCTGATTTGAGTACACATTTCTGCATCCTTGTACCTACAAGTGCCATCTTTAAGGGGAAGACAACATGAAGTCACCGTTTGAATAATTTGCTGTGCATATTAATAAAAGTAATAATTCAGTCTACTGTATTAGGTTTTTAATTGAAATTAAAGGTGGACCACCCTAACTCCATTCTCTAGACAGTTACTTTAACAGCATGGAAATGGTTGTATTTTACTTGTGTGGTGAAAAGGGAATTCCTGTTGTCTTTTTCTTCCTTGTGTTACATATTCTGAATGTTTCATTAAGTTGTTTTTGATATTTTGATGCAGTTCCTTCTATTTACTTTAGAGGTAACAGTACTTTATTACAAAGGTAACAGCAAATTCTAAAAGATGTGATTCCTATAAAAATAATAAGCCTGAGCCATTTGTCAGAACTGCAGAATGGAAACTTGAAGTGCTAAGTGGGATAATCCAAAGGGATTTTTTAAAGAATAGATTCTAGCTGAGGAATTCAACAATAAGAAAATTGTATTTATGTAATGTTTTGTATTTTTGAAGACTAGTGAAATTTCTATAATAATTTTGACTTTGAAAGCATATTGTACAAATGTTTCTTCTTTTGCTATTAGATGAACATATCAAAAGAAGAGAAAAAAAGTTTTCTTTGGTGGTTAGTTTGTTATTTCACTCTAGCTTGAGTAATTTGTAAGCCTAAAATGAGTTGTATGACAGTTCTTTGTAGTCAGTATTTCTCACTAGCTGATGAAACTTTCAGTTTGTGATGATATATTACACTTAAATTAGTTTTTTAAAAATCCAAAGTTGAAGATGTATGTGGAGATATGTACATACACTTTTGCATGTATCTATGCACATATATCTTTACCTAGAGTTTGTCAGGTTATGTATAGAATTTCTATTAAGAGTTTTAATAATGGGCAAGCAATATAGGATTGAAGTATTTATCTCATTTGATTAAAATTTTGTATGTTACCAGATTTTTTAAACAGTAAGCCAAATACTAAATGGTATAGTTGGCTGTTATTACATCTGAAAAATTTGTTATATGGTGCTCATTAGTTATTTTTTAAAATAATGCATAGGTGATGTAGTGAGAGAGGTTTTACCAGCTACTGTTTAACTACATTTTAGTCAAAACCAAGTTCGTTCTTAGTCTTTGGTGTAAACTATTGTAGAAGAGGCCAAGTCACAGAGTATAGGGTGAAGAATGAATTCCTGACATTCCATGCTGACATACACTGTTACGCTTTCTTTAAAATAACTAAACTCAAAAGAAAAATGTCTGAAGTAGTTTGCTGCTAATATATACATACATTGTAAAAAATGGTATATTTTGATTTTCTTAATACCCTTGTTGACTTTTCTACAGTGAACTTTTTTTAACTTGATTTAATAAAAATGTTAATTTTGAACATGCATTTTGTAAAAACCTTTTTCTGTTAAACAGTAATGACTTTATTTATGTTTAGTAATATAATCAAACACAAAAAGCCATACATCTTAATGCCTCTTTTCTGTCCATTCTTGAATGTGATGTTTGCTGTGTTTTCTAGCACTTTCAGTTGACATACAGGAATTTTAGGAACATCTGTATAATGAACTCTTTAAAAGGAGACTTCTGTCCACAGTTCTTCTAGCTAAAGCAATAACTTTGATACTTTTAAAGTTTAATCGAGCCAGTGTGCCCGTACACCATCCAGGGAAACTTGTACTAGAGGCCGTTTTGAAATCCTGTTTTGAAGTCTTGTGGATGAGTTAAATATTAACAGTTTTTTTTTTATAAGAATCACACCTCCCCCCCCTTTGGGAACTCCTGACTATGGAAAACACTTTTTAAATTACTCTTTTTGTCAGTGGAATAAGAACAGGGATAGATAGGTTTATAATTTAATTGCTAGGGGGGAAAGCTCCTACTTTATTTTGTCTTTGTAGCTGTCAGTATAAAGGGGAGAAGCTGTAGCAATATGCTGATGCATTGGTTTCACAGTACCAGTTAGGAAAGCTATTTCTCCTTACAATTTAGTGTATGTTGTTAAATATGGTGTTATTTGAGATGTATTGCTTTATTTTTTTCAATTAAAAACGGTTTTCTCCTATTTGTGTGTCTTAATTAAAATTTGTCCTTAGAGAAACATTTCTAGCTCTCATAAGACCCTGCAAAACACGCAGGAGATTTTCCATTATTTTGCACTTGAAAAAGTTGACAGGCTGTTAGTGCTGATACAAGTGTATGTTCGGTTGAACTGTATAAAATTTTGTTATTATGTATTTCCAGTGCTAAAGATCGTCATAAAACCATTTCATAAATGTCCATACAGCAAGATATTTCTTTTTTTTATTATTATATTTTTTTCTTCCCCAAGACAGGGTTTCTCTGTGTAGATTTGCACCTTTCCTGGAACTCCCTCTGTAGACCAGGCTGGCCTCGAACTCACACAGATCCGCCTGCCTCTGCCTCCAGAGTGGGATTAAAGGCGTGCGCCACCACGGCCTGGCCAAGATATTTCAAGTCCTGTTAACAGTCAGTCAAAAAGTCAGCTAGTTGACACCTTTAATGTGGAGAAATTGGCAGTAGGCAAGATGGGGCCCTAAGAATATTTTGCACATGTAGTGTCATCTTTGTGTTGGATTGCTTGGTAAAGATTGCTGTCTTCAGTGAACCATGCCTTCTATAGGAATTGTGGGTATTGTATTCAAATAGACTCCCATCAAAGGAATGCTGTTGTTTATGTAGAAAAGATGTGTCTTGGGATGCACCCTAATGCAGCCATGTGCAGTTTGTAGTGGAGGTATATATATTGTGTGATGCCACCTATTGTGTAGTTTCAGTTCTGCAATACAGGGTTGGGGAAAGGAGAATGGAGACCAAGCATAAGAGGTCAAATAAGCTGTAGAGATGGCTCATCAGTTAACCACTTGCTCTTGTAGGGGACCTGGGTGCGGTTCACAACCATCCATAACTCCAGTTCCAGGGTACCAGCACATGTTACACATATTTCAGGAAGAACACAAACACACACAAATCTTTTTAAAAAGAAGTACTAGATTAGCGAGTAAAAGGCCTAGAGGGCCAGTGAGATGGCTCAGTGGGTAATTACAAAACACTTTCTGACAAAGTTTGGCAACTTGAGTTTGATCTTTGGAACCATGAGATGGAGAGAACAGACTTCCACAAAGTTGTTCCCTGACCTCCACAGTAGTGTGGCATGTAAGCACTCCATGTACATTTTTTAATGGCAGATACAAGGGCTTTGTGAAAGGGGGAATTAACAGCCCTCCACACCAACTGCACTTGACTGTCAGGCTTGAGAGAGGCCAACCATCACACTATCCTCACTAGTAGAAGATGTGTGTGCCTTTCATTCCTGCTAAGGTACCAAACTGCAATACAAGGTTGCAGTATGTTTCTGAGTGTTTTGTTTTGTTTTGATTGAATGAAGTATGTGCTCTACTGCTAGTGTACACTTCCAGCCCTTGTATGAGGGATTTTTAAGAGTATGATCAATTTTGGGGAAGCTGAGGCAAAGGGATTGCTGTAAGGTCAAGAACAGCCTGCGCTATGTAATTGGATCCTGTCTCAATCCCCCTTTCTAAATGTATCAGACTTTTCTGGGCATAGTGATGCATGTCTAATCCCAGCACTGGGGAGGTGGAGACCAACTTATTCTCAAGATCTTATCTTTTAAAAGGTGTCAGCACTTGGAAGGCAGAGGCAGGAGGAGGATTAGGAGTTTGAGGACAATCAGGATTTAAAGAACTGCTTGTGTGTGCATGTGTGCGTGTCTAGACATGGTTTAGGGTGTATGTGTGTCATGGTTTAGGGGGTTGTATGTGTGTCTAGACATGGTTTAGAAGCTTAAAGCACTGGCTGCTTTTGCAGAGAGGTTCAGGGTTCAATTTCCAGCACCCATATGTCAGCTAACAATCTCATGTAACTCCAGTTCCAGGAGATCTGATGCCTCTGGTCTCAGCAAGTATCAGACACATGGTTGCACAGTCTCCATGCATATGAAGTGAAAAATCTTAAAAATAATGGAGGCAGGAGGACCAAGTCCTTTATCTACATGAGACAAAGAAGAGACTATTTATGCTGTTGTGGATGAACAAGGTGCAAGAGGGTGAGTGTGCATACAGAACACATGATTAGATGAATTAATAGCCTATTCAGTGGAGGACATGCAGCAGAGACACAGGCTGTGAGGGAGGATATTCCAGGTCTGTCCGTGGCAGTGATGGATATGACACTGAGCATGCACCAAGGGAACAGAAGCAGAAGTGTCTGATGCTCACATCAAGCACATTTCTCCCATGGATCTCCCTGCAATAATTTATCTTCTGCTCAGATTAGAAATGAGTCGGTTGGGAGGTGGTGGTGCACATCTTTGATCCCAGAGGCAGAGGCAGGCAGATCTCTGAATTCAAGACCAGCGTGGTCTACAGAGTGAGTTCCAGGATAGGCTCCAATGCTACACAGAGAAACCTCCTCTTGAAAAACAAGTTGCATTAATGCCAGGCAAGTACTCTACTGTGAAGCCATACCTCTAGCCATAAGCTGGTTTTGGTTTTATCATTTTGTGTGTGAATGTGCCTGTGAGTCCCATGGCATGTATATGCAGGTAAGAGGCAACCTCAGGTGTTGGTCGTCCTCTTTGTTCACCCCTTGTGTGACAATTTTTTTCCTGAGAAGACACAACACATATCTGTTCATCCTAATCCACAACAGATACCACCAAAGTCCAATTGGGTGAACCAGTAGTTTTATTGGGGTTACTTACAGGAATGTGGGTAAGGGATTACTTACAGGAGCACAAATTACCCAAGGACAGCTGCACCACTGAGGCTGACACCATCATGGGCCACAGCTCACAAATCTGGGAACCTGGAGCACACTGCACAGCCTGCAGCTCAACAGGATGGAAAATGCCCTTTCCAAGTGGTCTAGCCTCTTCCGGGCAGCTTGTCTGGTCCTGCTTCTTCCAGGCAGCTGGTCTGGGCTCAGAGTCTTCTTTGAGTTTTTCTTCTGAGAGTCTTTGTAGCTCGGTTCTTCAAGTGTCAGAGGGACTCTCAGCTTTTATGACTTACTCTGTCTGAGAGGGCCCTAGTGAATCTGATCAGTTTCAGGGACTTCCTGGAGCTATTTTGATTTGTTTACCTTCCTGCTTAGGGGGTTTCCCTGAAGGATGGAGTGTTTCAATTTCAGGAGGGATGTCATTTGTTAATTACTATGGAGATAATGCCTGTCACAATGTTGCCAACATGTTCTCTAGGGCTTCTGAAGTTCTCCAGGAATGATCCTTCTCTGAGCTCCATTGTGAACATGTAATAAGAATGGGAGAAACAGAACTGTTATGTCCAGGTTTCGGGGACCCCCAAAAGACCACCACGGAGTCCAAATCCCATATGTAAAAGCAATGAACCTTTATTTTCAAGCTCCGAGCTTGGTCTCTCTTGTCTGTCCCATGCAGCAGTGAGAGCAGAGAGCCCTGAGCTCAGGCAGGGTAGAGTTTTTGTCATAGCAGAGGTTGGGGTGAGGGAATTTCCAGGGTTCAGGACTCTGGTTGGCTGACATGCACCTCAGCTGATAGACTGCTTGTCTAGCATGCCAGAGGCCCTGGGTTGATCTCCAGCCTGAATAAAGCTGAGAGGAGGCATGTGAGGATCAGGGAGGGATTCAAGGTGATCCCTGGCTACAGAAAGTTTGAGACTGGCCTGGGCTACATTCCTTTTTCAAAAACAACAAAAATTTAAAGCGAAAATAATTAGAAATTCTGAAATGGAAGAACTGTATTAAAGAGAGCTAATGCTGGGTAATTCTGCCATTGGCCAAGCTTTAGCTCAAAAATCTTTTATGGGTCAATGTAAGATTTTTTTTTTTTTTTTTACGTTTTGTTTTTATAGCCAAGTGGTGGTGACACATGCCTTTAATCTCAACACTCGGGAGGCAAAGGCAGGCATATCTGAGTTCCAGGATAGCTGTGTAGAGAAATTCTGTATCAGAGAAAAAAATTGTTCTTATTATTTTTAGTTATGCACGGTTTTGTATATTTGCATGTAGGTATGAACACTTGAGTACAGATGCTGGAGGAGGCCAAAGGCATTTAGATTGTATGTATTGTGAAGGGCCCCCAAACAGCTTGACCACACAGCAGCCATGACAGGCTTAGGGGCCTAGACACAGCTTCTGTGACAGGCTTACTGGCAGGCAACACCCAGATCCAGGAAAAGCCTTAAGCTGATTCCACCCAGAGATCCACCCAGGGGTGAGGACTAGTACCTGACATCCCAAACATTCCAACCATTAGATAAGGTGGCCAGATGTCCTTGAGTCTAACACATACCTATTTTTTTTTTTTGTTTTACAAATACCCCTAGAAAATTGTCTGCCAATCAGGGTCCTGGACCCTGGAAATGCCTTC